CGCTGGAATGGAATCCGGCAGATGCAAGCACCGCGCTCGGTCCGAGCAAACCGAAAACCACTCTCGCAGCGAAGCCCAGATACCGCGCTGAGACAGGACAGCAGCCCGGGGACTAAACTCACAACCCGAATCCCAAAAGCACACACAGCAAGTCTCCGGTCCAGCCAGCCGGCGGTCACCGCCCTCGGACAGAAGGAACTCTGCGGGCCCCCCAACCCGTCCCGGGGACTCCCGTGCGCTCTCTGCCGCAGGAGACGAAGGGACGGACGCAACGGCGCTGCCGCCAGACCCAGGACCCTCGTCATAAAGTGCCTCCGCGCCCCCAGGCGTGATCGCTTTCCCTCCGTGATACGAGCCCCGGAAGGACACTGGAAGCCTCTGGCTCAGAGGGACAGCCCTGCCGGGGGCCGGGGGCTGGGGGCCAGGGGCCTGCTCAGAGCTGACAGGGGAGAGTCAGGAGGAGACGCAGGAGGCTCCCTGGGCCAGGGCTGTCCCGTCTCTGACTGCCCCGCGCCCTCCCCACGGGCCAACCGCCACACTGAGGGTCAGAAACTAAGGGAGCCACAAAGACATGGACCGTGTGTTGGAACTGGCTCTGCCACCCCCTGGAGAGAAGATGGGCCACCAAGGAAAGGCGCGGCCGCACCTGCCCACGACAGCGCGGGGGCGGTGTGAATCAGAGTGCTTTCTCCGCAAGAGCTGGTGGGGACAGAGAAGCACGCGGGCCCTGAATCTGTCGCTTTCTTTCAGCGCGGAGGCGCACGGCGAAAAAGCAAACGAGATGCCACACCTAGGCTCTCTGGGGGTGGGGGGGGTGGGAGAGGGGCTGCCGGGGCACTCTCTGCTGTCCGCAGAGACGACAGGTGCCAGGGCGGCTGCCCCACGACCTCCCGCCAGCACGGGGATTCAGAGGTCACCGCTGGCGGCAACGTGCTAGGCGTTTTGCACCCCTGGGGTCACCGCCACTTTAAAAGGCTCTCCCAGTACTCGCGGAGGGATGGGGTGCTCACGGTGGACCGAAGAGGCACCGAGCCGTCGCCCGTCACGCTCCTGCACGCGGACGGGCGCCCTGTCCTACCAGCGCTGCCCTGGGCGAAGGGCCCCCCGCTCAGGCCTGGGTGTCCGAACAGCTGTTTTCAGTTTATGATCCCACTCCTCTGCAGCGGAACACCCCTCGCCCGACAATCAAGACAAATGACTCCCCAGTAGCAAAAGTGCCCTTCGACGGTGGGCATTGTACCAGTGAGTCCACGACGGGACCCTGCTGATGAGAACCCTCAGGCGCTGGGACAGGCCCCCCTGGAGCGTAGAGAACGCCCTGGGTGTTTCGAGGTGCAGCCCATTCTCACCCCCCGCAGCTGGCCTCATCCCGATGCACCCACTGGCGCAGCCCAGGGCTTCCTGGGGGCCCCGCGCAGGGGGCACGGCCTCGCTAGGTGTGAACACAGGCAAGGTTTCTTGCCACGGTGCTCAGCGCAACACAGGCATTCCAAGGAGCTCCCGCTCTCTCAGGAACTGCCTGTCCTCTATTTGCTTTAGATCTCGAGGCCTGGAGAGGCCCTCACTTCCTATCGCTGACCAAATCTCAACACCGTTGTAAACCCTCAGACTTACAATCCAAGCAGGAGCTTGACCCCAGGCTGAGACGTGCACCGTATCCAGGACTGCGCCCTGGGTTGTGGCTCCGGACATGAGTGGGACGCATGATCCCAATGATGAGTTATTTGTCTCCACAAGAAACTGTGTTACATTTAGGATCCCCGGCTCGCCCACGAAAGCCTACGTAACGCTCCCACAATGCACCTGAAGACAGGGCCAGTGTGTTAGCCTGGACCCACCGCGAGGCCGTGGACAGGGCCGGCCCGCAGGTATCTGCCGGTGGAGTCACAAATCCCTGCAGGGGGGGCGGGCGCACGGCTGGCTCTGCGGGGTCTTCAGAGTCCCAGTGTATGCTCACCTCCCTCCCACCCCCCGGACTCCACCCCCGTTTTCCAGTCCTCTCTCCCCCCAGAGGGGCGCGTGCCCTCCCGGCTCACAGATTCCGAGGGCCGGCACCGGAGCACCGAACTGTAACGTTTCGGAGGGAACCGCTCCTTCCTGCCAAAACCACCTCAAGCAGCTCGTCATCGAGGCTGCACATGAGGAGGGGGAACCCGGTTAAGCTATTCCACGGTGAAACACTGGACGGGGACTTGCCCAGAGCTTCCTGACTCTTTAAAAGACGCCCGAGCACCCAAACCGCCGGCTTCGTGCGGAGCACAGAAAAACGGATCAAGCAGCTCTGCTGCCTGGGGCTGTTTCTGAACAGCTCTGCCTTTCTAAGCGACCTCCTTCCCGGCCATTGCTGTGAACACTAACGGTGTTTCACAAGTCTCAGCGCTTCCTCAGGTCCCGCGGTGGCGGCGGGGGTACCGATCAGCCGAACAGCGCGTCCAGGGACGTGCCGGGTGAGTCTGGCCCTGACGGCGGTTTCCCCAGACCGGAACACAAGCCAACCCGACGAGTCCTCGAAACACAGAGTCGCCGCCAACGGGCGCAGAAGCTGCGGGAGGGTTCAGAGGCCAACGCTGGGCCAGAATTCTGGGTTTCCCCATCCTGGTGTGGCCAGAAGGGTCTACTAGTTACCTTTAAAAAAAAAGTGTGAGGGGGGGAGGGAGTGCCGAGTATCCCCAATAAACCCTCACGTTTGTGGAGAACGAGCTCGGACTGAGAGCCCACGAATGTATCCTACCTAGAACGAGCAAGGGGACACCTTCAGAAACAGGAGCACGCCAGCGGCCTGCCCAGGGTCCCGTGAGTACGGTGCGCACGCCAGCGGCCCTCGGGCCCCAGCTCCGCGGAGTGTGAGCGCGGCGAGCACCCGCCGGGCCAGGGAGAGCGCACATCCAGACCCTCGGTTCCAACACACACTCGAACCGGGGGCCTGGCGCCAGCTTCAAAGGGCAGAGCCTCGTCCAGACCTGGCACAGCCCCCTGCCCTGGCAGGACGGGGCACCGACAGGTCAAGTCGGCACGGGGGTCTGGAAGGAGAAGCGAAACCGAATTCGCCTACAGCAGCTAACAATGCTACTAAGGCTCCTTAAGACTCGCCTCTAGCAACGTTTCTCTTCCACACGAACACGAACGCGCCGGAGGCCTCCCGCTAAAACCAGCCAGCACCCCCGCCCCCTGTCATCTGGGCTTCCGCCCCTCCCACCCGGGAGACACAGCAGGACAAACAAAGCGCCTGCCCGTGGGCCGGGCGCGGCTGCCAAGATCTCCGCGCACCCTGACGAGTGTTCATTGGCCCTGACGACGCTGCAGCACAGAGGGAGCTGGCCACTGCCGCCCTTCCCCGGGGGGACGAGGGGAGAAGGGCCAGCCAGTGCACCCAAGGGCTGGCTCCAGGTCACCAGTGTGTCAGGAGAGTGAGCATGGGACTTCCGTGGCCTCACTCACCGCCCCCCACGGTCTCTCCAGGGGCCCCTAACGACTCTGCTTCCCTAGTGCCCAGCAAGAACAGAAGCACCTGGAGGGCACGGGGCCAGCTCTCCCTGAAGGCCGTCCGTCGCCAGCACACTGAGTCCCACTGTGACATTTAACTTTAAGATCACGGCAGCCACCACGACATGACACGGAGTTTGCTTTTCCTCCGAGCAGCTCCCCTGCAGCGAACGCACTGTTTAATCAGGCCTCCAGCTTGGGACTGGGCGGCCCGGGACGTCTGCCCAGGGTCCGCGTGGCCAGCAGGTGCAACGCCTCCCGCTTCCTCACAGACGGGCGGACCCCGGTGCTGCGCCCGCCGGTCCCACAGACACGCGTCGCGGCTGCCTCAGCCATGACGGCCACGGTGAGAAGGGAAAGACGTTGTAGTGAAACGTGACACGGTTCTCGAGGATCTAGCTATGTGATCGGACCCCAGGCAGTGAAAAAAAAATTCTGCAGTAGTTAGCATCTAATGCAGTATATTTAGACTAACGAGTCCCGGCTGGTGTGGCTCAGTGGGCTGGGCACCGGCCTGGGAACCAAAGCGTCGCCAGTTCGATTCCCAGTCAGGGCACATGCCTACGTTGCCAGGTCCCCAGTAGGGGGCGCAAGAGAGGCAACCACACACGGATGTTTCTCTCCCCCTCTTCCCATCTCCAAAAATAAATAAACAAAATCTTAAGCAAAAAAGAAATAAATACCAGAACTCTAATCACTTAGTGAGGAGAGAGATTCCACTGAAAAGGAAAGGCAGAAATGAGCTAAGAATATGCTTGATTTTTCTTAATAGGTGCTGAAGATTCCCACCACCCAAGCGACCACCTGAATCGGACACGATTCTTCACTCGTCGAAGCCCGTGGTGGGAGAATCCCAAGCATGCTGTCTTCAAAGGCAGCGACATGAAACAGACCACTGCCCACGATGCTTGTATCTTACAGGCCCTTCCGAAACAGCCCCCACCGCTACAGGCACTGTTCCAGCCACCCGCACGGCAGGCCCGAGGGAGGCAGGGGACAGGCAGTCCGTCCACTCTGAACGGGGAGCCAGGCCCCAGGCCACAGGGCGAGTGGGCGCAGGCTCTGCCCCCCCGTGGGGCCCCACTCGGACGGCTCCCGCACTGCACTTCACGGGTTAAGTAAACGTACGGCGTGTGGACAAGAACGGTCTTGTGGGGAGGAGGGAGAGGACAGAAAGGGGAGGAGGACAGTTTCGTGACATCTGGGAAAACGCTGGACTTCCAGAAAATGTGAAGTAATGGAAAGAGAAAGTAAAAAGCCCAGCTGGCGCTGACGAATGGGAAGAAAGGACGGGGCTGAGGAAATAGTGGCCATTTCTTCTCCGACAGTCCTGCCCCTTCACACACTTCACGACGTGTGGCTCTGCCCCGCCTTCTGGGCCGCGCCCTTTCCCCCTGTTCCTCCGCAGAGAAAGGAAGACACGCGGAACCGTGCACCCAGCAGCCGTCAAACCCCTGGGCTCCTGCACCACCCGCGCAGGGCAGGCAGCACGGGTGTCCGCGGACTCCATGACCTACCTTGGCTTCATCATTAATGTCCCAAGTGAAAGAAATGGCATTGTAAGCAATCTCCTCGATGTTGCTGATGGTGTTGAAGCTCTCCTTATAGTCGGCTGCAGGGTGACAGAAAGAAAAAAGCAGTTGTGATTTTTTATTCTAACACGGGATCGCGGCAGTTTAAAGTAAGATTCGGTTTTTCCCATCATCACCCGTGGATGACTTAAATGAACATTCTGTTGGGTGGGAAGGAGCTTAAAAAGGAAAAAAAAAAAAGAACTTTTGTAATAGAGGCAAGCTTAGGTGTAATTTTATCTCGCTATGCCAAAGTGAGGATATTCAGGTCTACAAAGGGCCAAACAATGGTACTAAAGGCCACAAACTAGCCCAGAGGACCCAGTGCACAAACCAATTCTTTCAAGTCTCTTGAACAGAGAACACGAACATTCCAGGAGGGAAAGAAAAAGAGCGACACTCAGATTCAGAGCCACCTGATGACACAGATATAATCAGAAGGTCCCAAAGACGTTACCCTGCAAAAAAGTTGCAGATCGAAAAGCGGACACTCCTAGGGGAGCCGGTCATGCAGCTCTGGCCCCCCAGCGGCAAGGGAGAGCCACCGGCGGGGGGGTGGGGGGTGGGGGGGACGGGACACCCGTCCCTCTGAGGGAAGTAACGTTGGGAGCCCTGACTCCTGCAGGCCAACGGCAGTGCGTGGAGAGCGGATCAGTATCTGGCGCAGGAACTCAAATGCTTTCGGCAGGAAGCTGCTCGCTGCCAAAAACAATGGGATTTGGAGGAGGGGACGCCGCGCCCCCGGGAACGAAGGCTCGGGCTGCTCACCGATGTCAATGCACCTCTGCTTGGCCGTGTGCTGCCGGGAGTGCCAGTACTTCCAGTGCCTCAGCTGGTCCTCCCTGCTCTTGTCTTCGGCGAACACCACCATGATCACGCTCTGCGGGGGAGAACCCGTTACCACACACACGGGCGCCTTCCGCAAAGCTGATGCGGTCAGATTCCACAGGCGGGGCTCACGGCTGCCGCTGGCGACCGCTCGGAGCCGCCTCGGGCCTGGAGCCGCGGAGCCGCGACAGCGGTGGTCCCCGCGGGCGGCGCCGGGAGCCGGACTCACCCGCACTTTGCTGATGGGGTGGTGGATGCCTTCCCTGCTGCCCACTTCCTTCAGGGTGACCGGGTAGAACTGGCCTTTGTTCAGGTATGTCATGGTGCTGTCTCCCGGCTTCTGCCGCAGCGACTTGGAGGCTTCCAGCGTATACTCGAAGTTGTTCCTGGGGGGGCGAGAAAGTTCACAGGCATGTGGCCCGCTCCCTCGGAAGCTTCCTGGGCGCTCTAGCTCGGTCTCGCCACGCGCGAGTGTGGGTTTACGACACGAGCAGGGAGCCAGGAAACGTCCCGCTGACCGCTGGCTACTTCTGCCGCGATAGATATAATAATTTAAATAAGCAGCATGCAACTCTCCAGCCCCACAGAGGCGGGACGACAAAATGCCTGCGGAAATTCCATGGAGTGGGCCTAACGATGAGAGGTTCGGAGGCCGGGGATATCAAAGACACGACACTAACAAGTGAAAGGACATCTCCCGGACGCGCGGCCAGCCTGGTACGTGCGCAGCAAAGGCCGAGGACAGGCGGCTGGCAGCCCTCCGATGGGATCCGATCGGGTCTGCACGGCACCTTGTGGTTGCTTCTGCCTGTGACTTACACGGCTTCAGAGGGCACTCCTGACTCTCTACATTCCCTACCGCCTCAGGGCCCACCCCAACAGCCCCTGAGGTTGTTTAATCACCAGGGGTCGGCAGACTCCCCCCCATTTCTATAAATAAGGGTATTTCTGTAAATAAGATGGAAACCGTAGCGGAGGCCAGACACGCCCTTTGGTCACACGCATCCAGAGCCGCGTGGGTGCTGCAGCTGCAGAGCTGGGCGGCTGCAACAGCGGCTGCAGAGCCCACGGGACTGCAGCCCGGGCCACCCGACCGGCCGGCCCTCCCTCCGCAGGGAGAGTCCGCCCCGGCCCGCGCCCTGCAGGCATTCGGGTTTGTGACCTGCTCATCTTGAGGCAGGTCTTTAAGGGAAGTCTTGATTCCCATGAAAGCCTCCACTTTTAAAGAAAACCTTTTCTACTTCAAAATAGACACACATAAAAAATGCATAAAACAAAATTATAAAATGAAATCTTAAACTCCAAAAATCTGAAAGTGTTTTTACAGCATATTGTGCCGTGCATAATGGACTGGATGTCCATGTTTTCGGCCCAAACTTTCAGGGAAAAAAGTCTTTTGTTTTAATTGTTTAATTCAATTTTTTAGTTGTAGATACTTCTTTTTTTGTATTATAAAGGAACTTTAGCACTTATTTTTTTAACATACTGTGGAACAAGAAATTCTACGTAACAAATAATTACAAAACATAAGTCAGACACAGAGTACAAAAAATGTTCTTTTTTTTGGCTTCATGTCTAATTTTTATTCTGGAATGTAAAGGCCTTCTGAATTAAAAGTACAGCGGACAGATGATATTGTATTAGTTTCAGGTACAGAATGCAGTGAGATTTCACACGTACGTATATACCTTACAAAGGGGTCACCACAAAAAGCCCACTGCCATCTATCACTGTACGAACTTACTGTGATGTTAACAACACTCCTCATGCTGTACTTCATATCCCCGTGACTGAGTTGTAAATTTGACGTACACAAAATTCTATGTACCAGTGACAAGTCAGTACTGCCCACATGGAATCTACACCCTTACTTTTCCCCTCAAAAATTTGGGCAAAAAAAAAGTGAGCATTATACGCGGCAAAATACGGTATGTCCATTGTTAGCTTGGTAACTCTTCACACTCCCGGTGTGAGATGCCATTTTGTGAGGTTTAAAAGAAGCTATCGGGTCAGAAAAACATCGACTTTGTTTATTTTCTTCTTAGTGAGGCTAACTGAAAAGTAAAACCCTTTATCCACCTGATGTTATTCCTAAATGCTCACAGAATTATACACGTTGGGAAACAGGCTTCGGGGACCTCAGAGATCTAACTTAGTGCCCTCGTCTCCTCTTCTAGGCCCCATCCCCCGACCGTCACCCGAGGAGAAACCAGAAGGAAGAAGAAGCCCCGACACCAGGAAGGAAGGAAACGAGGAACACAGTGCAGAGCCCATGAGCAGCGCACGTCTGCGGCCAGGGGACGCCCGGGGCGCAGCCGCCGCGGCGAGACACCGGTGAGAGCCCGCTAACACCACCGTAGATTGTCCAGTATCCAGTTAGCGAAAGAGAACTAGGTCATAAAAGCCGAAAGGTAAAAATCAAATTAAAAGGCAACTATTACCCAGAAACACTGTCAAAAACATAGTCCTCTGAGTTCATGCCAGGCATCCGCAGACTGAGGTCCGAGGGGAAGAAAACCTGAAACATCAATGTCATGAGCCACAGCGAGGTAACCAGTTGTCAGGTTTGCTGCAGGCCAACACTGGGTGCAGCAGATAGCCCGCAGCTCACAGCAACCTACTCTGCTTTCGTCACTCATTTGCAAATAAAAATTTTAACTGTCCCTGGCTGGCGTAGCTCAGTGGATTGAGCGCGGGCTGCGAACCAAAGTGTCGCAGGTTCGATTCCCAGCCAGGGCACATGCCTGGGTTGCAGGCCATGGTCCCCAGCAACCACACATTGATGTTTCTCTCTCTCTCTCTCTCTCCCTCCCTTCCCTCTCTAAAAATAAATAAATAAAATCTTTAAAAAATTTAACTCTAGGAAAACAAAAAAAAATTAAAAAGAAAGAAAAAGAGCACACGCCACTCAGTTGAGTTAAAACCATCTACGTGCGCACTCCCACAAAGCGCTTCACTCACCCCCTTCCTGTCTCTCCCACGCACCCTGGTGCTGTCCCATTCCAGAATCTGCAACCAGACTCCCCTGAGCTTGGGGGTCGGCACCATCACTGCACCAAGTCCGGGCAGGGCACCAAGTGCACACACGGCTGACGGACGGGTGCACTTGCCCGGGAGAACTGACTTCTCCACCCCTGACCCCGTAAGCGGAGGGGGGGATACTCCCCCGCCCTGCCCTGTCCTTAAATAGTTCCGGACACCTTCAGTGTCTAACTTGGACCTGAGTGAGGTGTTCCTCGCCCCAAAACCCCTCCGAGTATTTGCGGTCGTTTGTAAATCTCACACCACACACCTGTGAGCCAGACCCACCTGCCTCCCGGGTCGGTTCTACCAACCAAGAAACACCCAGCAAAGAAACACGGGGCCAATCGCGTTAGATCTCGGCCGGTGCCCTGAGCCTGTTTTGGGCCAGGACAAAAGCCGAAAACAGACTACGTGGACGTATCTGTTGCTGACGGAAAACTATGTGTGGGGCTCTCTTTCTCCTTCTCCAGCAAATCACTTAGCTGAAATCGTTAACTGTTAACTCAGCTGCTGGTAAGATTAGCCATGTGCCCTTGACGATAATGTCTGGTTTTATGGGTTTAGCTTACAACTTACACCCATGGGCCTCTTCTCTATTAAAAAATCCCACTGTTGCTCCTAATCCACTCACTTCGGGCTGAGTTTCAGGCTTACATAACGAGGACCAGGGGGAACCCGACACTGAGACAAACACACAGCCGTCTGAGGGAGACGCCGTGGCTCCCGTACCTCCTGCACGCCGTCCTTGAAGGTCTCCGAGAAGGTGGAGTCCGGAGTTCGCCGCTGCGCGTTCGGGGCCTGAGCGCCAGAGCCGAAGTGGTCGGCACCGAGGTTCCGGTCGAACACCAGCACGCGCTCGGCGGGCTCCGGGTGGTACACGGACGGAGGGATCCCCACGGCGAAGCCGTGGGTCTGCGCTTCTGTTTTGATGGAGTGGGTAGGCATCGTTGCTATGGAGACGGTGACTGTCGTATCAGGGACTGTTAGGTGGCCTCTCTTGTCGATGCCCAGCTGGTTGCCGTGGGGGAGGACGATGTTGAACGGCACGTTTTTCAGCACTTGCACCCTGTTCTCTCCGGCGGCAAGGAGGGGCTGCTCGGCCACATGCGGCATGCTGTTTCTTTAAGAAAAAAAAATAAATAAACCTCTTTCAGTGCTGACACAGTTCTTTGACAATTTTTTTTAATCGTCACCTGAGGGTATGCCAGATGCTGTTGGAGGGAGAGGAAGGTGGGGGGAAGGGGGAGAGAGAGAGAAACATCTGTGTGAGAAAAGCTTCGATCAGCTGCCTCCTGGACACGCCCCACGCAGGCACCACACTCGCAGCCTAGGCATGTGCCCTGACCGGGCATTGAACCTGCAGACTTTGGGTGCACGGAACAATGCTCCTAACAACTACACCACTCTGCCAGGGTGACAATGTTTACTTTCCTAGTGGCACTGGGCCGCGGGATCCTGTGCAGTGATTACAATACACGCGTGGTAGAAACTACAGACACAGATGCTGGAGCATGAGGAGATGGCTTCTCGGGGACAGGTCCATGAAACTCAAAAGTGTTAAGTAAGATTTCATGTGAACACCGAGAACGGAGAGCTCTCCTCGGCTACACTTTATTCCCAACAATTCTAGCAACGTCACCGAATTTTACTAGAACCCTGAAGCTGCTGCAAACATGGCTGGTCGGGTCAGTCCAGAAAGGTGGCTCCCACACAGACTCCGAAGTCAGGCTCCTCCGGTTCAAATCCGGTGTGACCTGGAGCCAGTCATTCGCCGCTGAGCACCGACACACTCTTCTGTGAGATGGGGACAATAATCATGTCTGTCCCCAAAACGTTCTGAGGAGGACAAACGAGTTGGCACTGAAAAACAAAGGCGTGCAACAACCCCTGGCACACAGGGGTCGAGAAGTGTGAGCCGTTCCTGGTACGTACGCCTGTTTGGCTTTCTCTTTCGGCGAAAGGAAACTTATGACTACACTGCACCAGCAGATAAAATACCTGCATAAAGTGACGTTGCTCTAATAAATATCCTGGGCCATGTAAGACGATGTCTAGTCTAGAGTAAAATTAATAGATTTTCAAAGCCACCTCAAATCATATAGGCTGATACTTTTAGGAAAAAAAATCAATCTGGCAACTTAGTACATTTCAGGATTGACAACATGTCAAACTGTTTAAATGCACACCCAAGAATGTTTCCTAAGGAAAGAGAAAAAAAAAACTACCCAGAAAATGAATCATTGAGCCTTTGTGACAGTAAAAAAAAACACTGTACATGGAGGGTTAGCAACAGGGAAGCGGGAGGAGGTGAGGGGGGGAGGTATGAGAATAAGTAGCATAGATGGTAGGTAGAAAATAGACGGGGGAGGGCAAGAATAGTATGGGAAATGGAGAAGCTAAAGAACTTATAGGTATGACACATGGACATGAACTAAAGCAGGGGAATATGGGTGGAAGAGGGTGTGCAGGGTGGAGGGGAGAAAATGGAACAACTGTAATAGCATAATCAATAAAATATATTCAAAAAACACAAAAACCACTGTACAGCCTTCACGTGAAGTACAGCCGGTTCCAGAGCAGCACGTGAGACCTTGACCCCCAGCTCACGTCGTGATTTGGCCCAAAGAAGCGCTTATCAGCAGCTCCAAACAAATAACAGAAAACAAAACAAAATACTGTAGCAAAAAATAAATCTAGGAAATCAACGTATAAGTTGAGGAAGACAGAAGAGTGGACCGAACACAGGAAATTACGCTGGTAACTGCCCAAGCCCACAGCGGTCCGTGGGGCCTCACGTTATTTCCCTGCTGGTGCTGCGTCTGAAACGTCCGTAACAAAAAAGTAGGAAATAAAAGCCGTAAGCCCCTTTGCCAAAGGGCGATTCTGATGATGAAAGCAGCACCACGCACACACGCAGGAAGCACACTACGCAGGAGACAGCTCGCCGCGGAGCCCTCCCCGGGCAGGCAAGCGCAGCGCGGGACGCGCAGACCGGAGCGCGCGGCCGCGCACACGCCGCCAGAGGGCGGGGTTCTTCGGGGCGACCCTTCCTCCTGTGGCGATCTTGTACCCCTCTAGCACTGACAGGACGCAGGGCAACTATGAAAGTATATTTTAACTTTTTTTTAAAGCCTTCGTTGATTTTTTGAAAGCTTTAACCTGAAATACTCAAAAAGTAACCTCAGCAGGAATTTGGAAAGCAGCTGAAGGCACCGTATTCGCTCGGCATTTCTGAATGGACCCACCACTGCCTGCAGCCACACCCCCCCTGAACGGAACAGCCAAGACAAGGAAGCTTGAAGTTATTACTAAAAACACCCCTTTGGAGGAGGAGAAAGTTCATGCTTTGTTTTGCAGAAAAGGCAACTGCGCCTAGAGGAACCGGTACCTTCTCCGAGCAACGGAATCCCAGTGAGTAAGGGGCAACGCGGTAAGGAAACCCGCGCAACGCCCCGGCCTCGTCCGCGTGCGCTTCTTCCCCGGAACGAACTCCCGACGTGCTTTCAGACACCTGGCATTTTCCAGGAGAACTATTTCACGCTCGACATTGGACGTTACCTTTTGCTGTGGTCTGCCTCCGGGTGCTCAACCTCGGCCTTTGCTACCGATGACCTCCTCTCTCTGGGAACCTGGGACAGGAACACACAGGACAGTAATTTAACCCTTACGTAGGGAGGCAGAGATAGATACAGCCTGTTCTTTCCGGCCAGTCCGGGCCTTCGTGTCATCCACTAAATGCATCCGAGCGCCGGCTCTGGGGGCAGGGTGAATGAGGCGGCCTCGGCTCTGCAGAGCCGACGGGCTGGTCACCAGGTGGCAACGTGAAAACCAGCTACTGCTCGGCTGGACAAGCTCAGGGCCTCGCACCCCTTCTGCCCCTGAGGCTGGGTTTCGTCTCTTCAAGGAAATACTCCTGGCCTGGCTCTACCCATGCGTCTACACAAGGCAGTGGACGAGGAGCTCCTGGAAACACTACGGGGCTCTCTCCACCCTCCCGCCGCTCTTCTCGGCCACCCCTCCTTGCAGACCCAACGCCCAGTCGCAAGGATCGGCCGTGTGAACAGTGCATTCCCTGAGACCCAGGTGCCGGCTTCAGGAATCCATTTCTCTAGATGTCGTGGAAATCGTACGGTCCGTGAGGCAAGGGACAAATCGGATTCAGGCTGCTCTACCCCTTCGTGGTCTCTGCTCGTCCCTGCCCGGGAGGTGGAGGCAGGCAGGCAGGCACCCCGGGGGCGTGCTGCAGACCCCCACCCAGCCGAGCCTGCTCCCAGCGCGTCCTCCAAAACTGCCAAAATGGGGTGCGGGACTGGTTTCCCATGTGCACGAAGGAATCCTACTCCTGCCTTCTTATTTTACCCGCAAAGAAGGAAAAAGTATTGTTTCATGTACGAGCGATGTGCTTTTAGAGCTTCATCGAAACTGTTATGTGAAAATGACTGATAGTGGCACCTAAAAACCTGAAACATTTAAAACCCGGTCATTTAAAAACAACAAACAAACAAACCCCCTACACCCATCAAAAGCAGCCTGACATCGAGAACCGGTAAGACTGTCTCCCTTAGTGAACAGACACGAAAATCCCTCTCCTCCTACTACGTAAAACACCTCCAGGAAACACACAGAGACGCTGCAGTCGGGGTCATCATGCCACTTCCTGGCACTGACCGTGTGGGTCTGCTCCCCACTCTCCGAAGTTTCAGTTACAGACATGCAACTTCAAACTTCGTAATGAACACCTAGGAACTTAGGGTTTTTACACTGTGTTAATAAAACAAGCCATAAAGGGAACAGATTATATAACAAGTTCCACTTCAAAGGGACTTTAGCGGCTGCACTTCCCAGACGAGGGTCTCCTGCAGCGTCATTAGGTACGATGCAAGTCTCCGTTCATATTCAAAGAAAAAAGATGCTTACCTCACTCTCTGAAACAGGGGCTGACCACATGATCTCCTATCAGAAGATATTAAGCCTTTTGTTTGGGTCCCATCCTAACTATCTTCTTTGCCTTTTTCCCTTCTGTATTCCTCGTATTCAGGAAAGACTACGGGGCCAGAACATAACACAACGGAGGCAGCTGGCTGACCTAGGACTCAGGGGTGACCAACCCATCTTTACCGGGGGCCACATCAGCCTCGCGGTTGCCTTGAAGGGGCCGGATATGATTTCAGGACTGTTTAAATGTAACTACCCTTAACTGCTAAGGAGCTGAAATGACATTCAGCCCTTTGAGGCAGCCGTGAGGCTGATGTGGTCCCCGGTGAAAATGAGTTTGACACCCCTGATCTAGGTGGCAATATTAAGGAGTTAATTGTCTTGTTACATTAGGTCTTCTAGAGGTGTGGGAGTTTTAAAAACAAAAATGATGACAAACTGGAATACGGAGCCATCCTCCCGTATCGGCTGCTGGGCAGAACAAGGAGCCGCCACAGTACGTCAAGCAAGCAAAGCGCAGCCCACAGCAGACGCGCGGCACGGCCGAGGCGACAACCTGGGCACAGACCAGACCAGGCCTGAGATCCTGGCTGCCACAGACACGCGCTGTGTGGCCGGGGACCTTGACTGTTCCCATCAGGGACCCTGCAGGGGCTCCGGAGGCATCGGAAGTGGCGCGCACACTGTGACCACACCCGGTGCAGCACCAGCAGTCTGTGAGTGGTGGCTAGTGCCGCGGGACAGTGTCCATGATGCGAGTCAGTGGTGTCGTGTCCGTGGACACCACATAAAACTCCAGGCAGGGCACAGACTATACTGAACTAAGACTCATCCAGATCTCCAGAAACAGGCAGCAAAATGGATCCTGACCTCAGAACTAGACGGTCCAAGACTGAAAAATAAGGTTGGTTCGTTTTTCATGAGCCGTACAGTCAAATCAAAGCCAAGCCTCTACAACACCGTGCGGGGAAAAGGCCATCGCTTCGCTCTGACTCCACAGGGACGAACCACTCACTGCGCCCAGGTGGCGCAGGGTGGCGCTAAGGACCACCTTCGGGGAAACGTCCGGGCCCCGCAGGACACAGCGACCGGCTTCTTCCGCGGGAGCCTCACCTTTCCCCTGGAGCCAGAGCAGCTGGCTGCGCCGCACGTCTCGGAAACAACCCTTTGATTCCATGAGCGCAGACTTTTCAGCTTTGAACCGTAGTAATTCAAAGTACTCATTAAACTATTATAGTCACTACAGAGGCAACTTGCATTACCCTCTCCCAGCAAATTACTGTTTTCCGTGCGGTCGGACCCAGCGCGGAGGGGGGGGCGGGGACCGCCGTCGCGAGAGCAGGCAGACCCACCTTGTAGTAGTCGTAGAGCAGGCCCAGCGCGGCCGCGCTGTCCTCGTCCCCGTTGATGCTCATCATGGCCTTGGTCGCCGCGGTGAGGGGGTTCTCCAGGAAGGACTTCCAGGCTTCGTCCTCACTCGTGTAGGGGCGCCGCTGCGGGTAAAGCGCTTCATTCTGAAGAACCAGCACTGGCCGCTTGCTTCAGGGGAAAGAAGAATACTCGCGTCAGGCTTCCCTGCTGCCAGGCATCCCAAGCTAATTTTTAAAGCACCAATTCATGGTGTTGCGATAAAACTGCCCATTGTTTCCCCAACGGCCCTGCAAGGTAAATTAAGACGAGACCAGAAGACGGAGACCAGAAGACTGCCCCCTTCTGGCAGGGCCCCCCATGGCAGGCCAGGGCCCACCCAGTGAGATGCAAGGAACTGAGGCAACCAGCGAACCTGCCGTTCATCTCCACAGGGGACTCAGGATACACTATTTGGCAGGGGGGAAAAAACAAAAACAAAAACAAAAACAAAAAGACAACACTCCCAGAAAACTCGGGCTATGCAAACACTTCACAGAAGCAGACGCAAGGACGGAGTAAGGCGACGCAGCACAGGCAGTCTCTTCAGCCCATGCAGTCAGGACTGGGTCCTCTTGCTGCTACACGCCACTCCCCGCTTCCTCCTGCGGCCGCCGGCCGCCAGCGCTCTCCCGCCTGCACGCAGGGGCCGGGGAGGAGGGGGCGGAGCGACCAGGGCTACTTCATCCACCCCTCGGGGGTATGTGAGAAAGTTAGAATATTCTACTGATTACCAGCAGATTGAGCGTGGAATGTGGCCACAGGGGACTGTAAATCAATGAGGACGCACCACCTTCTGGCAGAGGAGCCAACTGTTTATCTTAGAGATAAACACTAAAGAATCTACAACAATAAATGAAGACACCCAACAAAAGGATCTGTAAGAAAAATAGGACGGGGGGGAATCTGTTTTTTAAAAAATCTTTTTACCAGTTTTCTACGCTGAGCAACAACTGTTTCATTTTAACACTGTACTTTGGTGGGAAACATCCAGAAAAATCACCATGGTTATTAGTAAACTCTTATGGAAGATTTGATTCAAAAGATGAAAGCAAACACTACTGATTCCAAAATTTGAAATGTACACAGTCTCAACAACTGTTCAGTTGGTCCTATTGAGTAAGTCAATATAAAGAAAAAGTGGAACACCAACTCCAGTGAAGTGAAGCAGTTTTTTTTTTTTTTAAGGAAAAGAAGTGTAAATGTTCAGGGCTACGCTGAATGATCACTATTCTAACAAGCAAATTTAAGGATCAGTTCTCATTGCAACACACAAATTAAATATGTCAACTGCCTAAAGGTGACCTACCTACTCTAAAAGTGAATGTAGAAAGACCTATTATCTTTTCAAGTAATCAGCAAAGGTTAGGGTTTGGCAGCCACCCAGGTCCTTTAAAAACAGAAACATATTTTTAAAAATAGAGAACATCTTTGAAGAGGGGGTTTGGGGAATCCAACTTCATGTATCCTCAGTCAAAATCAAGTCTTAGTTCAAAGCCAGTGCTCCTCAGCCGTAGGCACGAAGTCATAGGAGCTCATATTTGGAGGAAAAAGGAGTCTTGAGGTGGTGTGCTATTTTAACACTGAACAAACACGGTGGGTTGTTCAAAAGAGACAGGTTGTTTAAAAATGGAAACTATTGGCACAAGGCTCGAATTAAAAAAGCACATCGACATATATACAAAGGGGTCCCCCCCAGCGCGGCCAGCAGCAGCGCACAGCAGCGAGGAGCCAGTGGCAGGCACCTGGGGTGATTTGTTGGTGCTAAGCTGTTATTAATAGTGTAATAGCTACTTGCACAAGATTATGACAGCACTTGGCTCATTCGATTCCCATAATGCTCGTTGTTCAGCTTCCCTTCTCCCACGCCTAGCCCAAACCCGTCAAAGCAACAGAAAATAAAGTATTTTTTTTGCAAATCGTTTTGTGAGTGATCACCCTGAAGGTGTCTTTCCATTTCCCAAGGGTGCCTAAGACCAACATTTTAGCTTTGGAAAGTTGCCTTATCTAAACTAGGCGTTTGGGAAATAAACGTGCAACCAGCTGCCTTTGCCTCCTTCCTCCTGTGACAGGCTGTTGCTAGTCCCTGAAGGCTCATCACTGCCTTGGGGGATCACTCCGACCATTCCTCAGTGATCTCTCCAAGACTTCCGGAAGACTTGACTCCACGACGTCATTCAGCTGCATGTTCTACAACAGACGGTCAATCTATTTGAGGTATTCTGCACACAACATCTAACCCACTCAACCAGAAAAAGGCACCAACAACACGATCCCAGGCAAAAAACTCTAAAACAGGGAGGGGACCTGCCCGCCCCTGAGTCACAGAGCTGAAACCAACTGATTCGGTTCGGTGCAATTTACTTAAAAAAAAAAAACAAAACATTTTTAATGATTGAACAATTTCATATTTACAGGAAAGTTGCCAAGAAAAATAGAGAACTATCCCTCACCCAGTGTCCCCTAATATTAACGTCTTACGTTACCACCTTACATTTATCCAAATGTTTCTATCATCACAAACTCCAAAAGGCACATTATTAATCCAGTACTTTCAAGAGTATCACCCTGATTTCGAAGTTTCGTCCTCCGGATATTCTGAGCGTGTTTAATTACAGTAGGTGTAATTACCATCAGTGATGCAAGTGGCAAGGAACTCCTACAGCGAGTTTCTCACTCGCACAGCCAGCCAGGGAAAGAAAATGCCAGGACTCCCGCAGCACTTCAACTTTTGCCTGGATTTCTGCTTTCGGAAGCTCTCCCGGGCGGCCCAGGGGCACGGCCGCGCGCCGAGATTACCCGGAGACCTCTACCTGTCCCGCCGCGGAGCGCATCGCAGGGAGCTCCAGAGTTCCACCGAGCAGAGCAACCGACGGCTCCCGGTGGGAGCGCCGGGGCGAGGGGCGGTCCGCGAGTAGAGCCGCAGCCCTCGAAGGGCGCCCAAATCTCGTCCCGCGCACCAGGGCCACCAGGGAGCAGAGAGGAGGGCGCGCCCCGGAGGTGGTCACCCTGATGAGGACGCTGAGGCGGGGGAGGGGGACTCTACGGAGTCCACTCGCCAAGGCAAGGGTCCCCCCCCCGCAGGGCCTTCGGCAGAACAAAGGCAGGGGGAGCGCGGAGGGGCAGAGAAGAGAGCAGACCACAGGACGCGCGACCCCCGCCCGCTCGGCATCGCGCCCGCCCGCCCCCGCTCCGCCCGGCCTCGCGGCAGGTGCGGCGGCCAGGCGGCAGCGGCCGCCCGGGCAGCCGGGCCGGACTCCGCACGCCGGCGCCCCACTCACTTGTCGTACTCCTGTGTCATCGCGCTCGTTCGCCGCTGCCGGGCCGCAAAACTGGACTTTCGGGTTGGGACAGTACACCCGATCCGGGGGGAGGCGGCGGCGGCGTCGGCGGCAGGTCCGGAGCGGCGGCCCCGACGGGTTGGGTTCGCTTTTCTCGCTCTGAGCCGGTCCGCGCGGGCTGTGCTCGCTGGGCGCCGGTGCTCCGCCGCCCATTGGCTGGCGACGCGCCGGCTCGGGGCGTGGCCTCGGGGCGGGGGGGCAGGCAGCGCCTCCTGATTGGCTGGCGCGCGGGGTACCGGGACCCGGGCGATGGTACCGAATGGCGGGGCGGGGATAGTATCCGCGCCCGTGTGGCTCTCGGTACGCTGGTGGCCTCCTGCGCGGCCGACTGGCGCGGTCGCGATGCTTCTGGCGCGCACCGCACGCCCCTAGGCGGGCCGCCGTGCACCCACGCGAGGGCGGCTGGGCGCTGTGTCTCTGCTGTGTGTTGTCGTCGCGCCCTCCGCCGCCCACCTGCGGAATGGGCCGTGCTTTGGCGCCACCTTCCCGGGCGCTGGGCGCTCTTCTCTCGCCGCCGCCCACCCATGCCCTTCGCTCGCTGCCGGGCGTTGGAGTCTCCCCACCCGCAGCTGCTGCCCGCGGCTCAGCTGCCTCGGGCACCTTCCCTTCTGAAGCCTCTAAAGCGCCCCGACCTCCTCCTGTCCCCTCTCAGGCCGCGTGTACTTAGGAGGTGGCCGGCTTTTCCCTCTTAGCCTTGGAACCCTCATCTGGGCTTCAACTCCCCTAACCCTAAGCCTCCCCTCCAGCACTCCATCCTCAGGCTCAGGCTCAGCCTCTCCTACCCCTCTGCTCCTTCCAGCCCTAGTGCGGTCTCTGAGCACCGCGCCTTCATTCCTTTCCACCCCTACCCCAGGCCCCGTGGTCCTTTCTGAGGGTAAGACCCTTCTTATCCAGGGTCTGCCCGTTCCACAAATATTTATGAACGGACCTACTACATGCCAGGCACTGATCTAGAAGCTGGCGGCAAGCCAGTGAACAAACCGACAAAATCCTTGCCTTCCTCCAGCATCCTCCTACTTGGGGAAACAGACGATTTTAAACAGTAAATGGTATGGTAGGTTAGAAAGTGGCGAGTTCTATGGGAGAGAGAGCAGGCAGCTGGGGAACGTGGGGTGGAGTCAGGCGAGAAGACTTGAGGAAGAGAGTCCTTCGGGGAGGTGGGGGGGGAGGGGACCAACAGTGACGCAGCCTTGCCGCAGGTGGGGGCTGTGGACAGCAGCGCAGGGGCGGTGTAGGCCTGTGTGTGGACTGGTTTTTACTGAGTGAGGTGGGGCAGCATTGGAAGGTTTGGATTCCAGCTGGGTTGTGATATCATTCCTGTCTTAAATAATCTGGCTGCCGGGTGATGGGCGGATAAAGGCCAAAGATAATGGTAGCTTGGCCTGGGGTGGGAAAATGGAGTGGTGAGAAGGGGTCAAATTCTGGATCTGCTCTGAAGGTAGAACCAACACAATATCCTGAAAATCGGATTTGGAGTGCAAGACAAACGAGAGAGTTGGGGCAACTATAAGGTTTTCCGTTGAAAGCTGCAAGGAATGATTTGCCATTCTTGAGGTGGGAAGACCGCAGGCAGAGGGCTAGGGGCGGTCAGGAGTCCCGTTCTGGACATAAACTCAGGGTTTTTATTAGAGACCCAAGCGGTTGGATCAGTAGATGGTGGATCATGAGTCTGGGGTGCAGCGGAGAGACGTCTGGGCCAAACGGACGAATGGCAGACATCGGCTCAGAGACTGTATCAAATGCCTGTAAATGGCGTGGTTTCCTACCACGGCGAGGGAAGGCAGAACAGGACTCCAGCAGCAGCAGAGATGGAAAGGGGGACTCACAGATGTAGGAGAAAAGTCGACGCTGAGAAAAGAAAGCGAGACCGGAGAAAGGTGTGGCCAGCAGGTCACAGGCTGCCCGGAGGCCAAATGAATGAGGATTTAGAAACATGGAGGCCACTGGGACCTTTATTCAGCTCCAGCTGTCCCTCATCTACTGGGACAGCTCCCTGCTCCCTGTTCCCCAGGCCCCTTGGGACTGCAGTCTGCAGCCACAGACCCTTCTCACTGTCCCCTCCTGCCAATTTCAGTTCCTGTCCCTAAGCCTGGGTACAGCGCTGGAGCGTGGAGCCTGCTCTTTTTCTAATTCACTGTTTTGTTTGTTTGTTTAAATAAGTTATATCTTTAAACGGTCTCTTTCAAGAGAAATGTTCAGTAAATAATAGGACAGGTGGTCCGCAGGTACAGTGCAAATCCTCAGAGTTATGCTGCCGAAGTTGGGAAACGATGTTCTCCTCCTCCTTCCCCTGACCCAGCTCTAGGTGTGGCCAGAGTAACCTCTCTAAATTCCAAACTTTCCAGGTCACGTCACCCTGTTACACTCAGAGCGAAGCTCCAGCTCCTCGGCAGGGCTCGTAAAGGAGCGGCTCAGGCCTCGCTTTTGCAATTCCGCTCCTTCCGGGTCTGCTCAGGGCCAAGCGCCTCCCCACCCCCCAGCTCCCCGCTCCTCCTCTTCCTGCTGGCGAGCTCCATTCAACCTGCCAGGCTCAGCGGGGACCCCCCCAGTCCCCCGGGGAGCGTGCACCACCTTTACCACATCCTGTTGGTGACCTGAGGTTCTCTGTTTGTCTCCGCTCCAGTGGGAACTTTTCAGGGGAGGCCAGGGATGGTACGCTTTCACGTTAGTGTCCCAGCCTCCGGGTGCACACAGAAAACGCCCAGCACGTGTCCACTGAGTGGACACATCCCTTGGCAGGTGTCTGTTCCGCTCGATCTCCTTTCTGCCTCCTGTACCGCATCTGGGAGTGATTTGCATGACCTTCTTGCCACCGGAAACCAACGACCTCATGCCTGATACACAGGCACAAGATAAATATGGGATGAATGAATGAATATCAAACCATAAAACCAAAAACAAGAGCCGTAAGGACCCAAGGTTATTAGACTTTACGTGTATTAACTTAAAAAAAAAAAAACACAACCGTCGGTCTATCTTATAAAGTGAATAGGGGCTTATTTAGGATGTCTCTAAGTGCTCTCTAAAACGGAAGTTAAAATCCATGCCTATGAGGTGTTGGCATTGTTTTTATTTGTATTTTTTTATTATTTTTTAAATTGTAAAAATAATACATGCTCATAGTTTTATTTTTTTTTAAGCAAAAAGAAAGAGGGGGAAGTAAAGGGGAGAAAAGGAAGAAAGACAAGAAAGCAAGAAATTTAAAACCACCCAAGGTTTGGAGCAGAGTCCCTCAGCCCAGACAGTCAGTGTTAACAGCTTGTGTGTCTTCCCAGATATTTCCTGTGTGTCCACCAGCATATGGATGTTTTATTTTCTCACACAAATGGGACTCACACTGTGCATCTTCTCAGCTTGCTCACTTCACTTCCTATGGCTTAAATACTTCCCACCTCAGCACAGAAACAGCTACCGCACTTATAAAGACTCCCTGGCTGGTGTGGCTCGGTGGATTGAGTGCTGGCCTGCAAACCACAGGGTCACAGGTTCGATTCCCAGTCAGGGCACATGCCTGGGTTGCAGGACCAGGTCTCCAGTACGGGGACATGTGCGAGGCAACCACACATTGATGTTTCTCTCCCTCTCTCTAAAAAGAAATAAAGTCTTTTTTAAAAAAAATGGCTGCATAGCATTTCTTTGTGTTGGTGTATGATGGCTCAGCCAGACTCTGTTAGTGCGCAATGAGGGTCCTTCTCCCGTTTGTTGTAGTTACGAACACCCAGTAACAGGTACCCCCGTAACTCTACACTTCGCACCCGTGATCGAGGATAGCCGTGGGATCAGCCTAGACCTGGAGCTGCTGTGAAAAAGGTGCGCACGGTTGCAGCTTTCGTAGATCTTACCAAATGGTTTCCCAAAAGGCTGCCCCACTTAGACTCCTACCAATGGGGTGGGGGTATCGGACTGGCCGAGGGGCCACCCCCTCCGCAGAGCAGGGACTGATTTCGGAAGCCTCTCTGGCAGGGGGCGGGGGGCCACGTGGTTCTAGCAGACTGTGGCAGTAGAGAGGCCAGCGGGGTGAGCAGATAGAGACGGAGACCTGGATTGCAGCCCAGCTTCCACTGACCCCACAGGGTGACCTCCGCTGAGTCACTTCTCTCTGGGCCTCAGAAAAAGGAGGAGGCTGGACAGGTCATCTGGTCCCTCCAGGTGCAATGTCCTGTGGCTCCAAGAATGGTTGCTAAGAGCAGTCGTGATATTAACCCCCCCCAGTGTACAGACCGAAGCTCCTAGCCTGGCACCGAAGTGCCTTCTCCATCTGGCCCAACACACGTTTCCAATTTCATGTCCCGGTGAAAAGCCCCCACTGCCCCGGGTCCTGTCACAGTGTCCCCTGAGTACACACCCTGCGGTCTCGGGCCCTGGTTGCCGTGCCTTCCTCCACTCCCCCCACGCCCCACTCCTGCGCCTCCTTACCAGGCCAGCCCCTGCTGCCACCTCCTGCAGGAACCTGTCCCACCCCATCCGCCTCGCCCCCGCCGCCCCAGCACTCAGCTAGCCCTTCATTAAACCTCTCACCACAAGTGGCTCTGCCTTTCGGTTCACTCCGTCCTGCGTGAGATCGGGTGAACAACTTGAAGTCCATCAGGCCGGGAGTCGGATCTCAGATCTGCCTGCTGTTTGGACGCTAGGCAGCCTGCGTCCCGCCGGCCCTCCGGTTCCCCAGCAGGGCACGAGGACGCCGAGGCCAAGCTCGGCGGTGGTAACGAGGACAATGGAGTTGAACCCCACACTGTCGCTCGCCTCCTCCCTCTCTAGAGGTCAGGAGGGCAGGAGCCCTGTCCAGTCCCTCCAAGGGCTCCCCGGCCGGGATGCGACCTAACCCCTCCCCTGCTGAGACAGCCTGTACCAAGGGGGCACCAGCAGGGCAGCTGCCCCACGCCTG